TGTTCTTCTCCTCTATATTTCCGGGGTTTTTCTTTTCTTTTCTTTTTTTCTTGTTTGAAATACTGGGGATTAAATGAACATTAGGTCTTATGAATACCAAACAAGAATTCTACCATTGCACGACATCCTCAGATGAGGATTTATTTTCATTTTTATTTTCAAGATAGGATCTCACCAAGTTGCCCATGCTGTCTTGAACTTAGAATCTCCCTGTCTTGACCTCCCGACTAACTGGGATCACAGTCTCCACTACTGGGCCCAGTTGAAAGGATTGTTGGATCTAGGCTTGGGATATAGCTCAGTTGGTAGGATGTATGCCTTCTCATGCAGAAAGTCCTGGATTTGATTCTCATTACCAGTAACCCAGGTATGGTTGTTATGATTTACAATGTGAGTGACTCTGGGGGATCCCACGGCAGTTGGAAGACTGTGGCGGGTAAGAGACAGAGAGACGTGCTGTGCAGAGAGAGCTGGATGTGCTACAGAGAGATTATTTAATGGATATTGGGAGAGTATTAGGAGAACAGGGTTGGGGGGGAGGAGAAATAGAGGGACAGAGGGGCAGGGAAGAGGAGAGAGAAGAAGGAAAAGGGGGAGAAAGACAGAAAGCTGCCTCTTCAGAAAGGACGAGGGAGAGAGAGAGGAGAGAGAGAGAGAGAGAGAGAGAGAGAGAGAGAGAGAGAGAGAGAGAGAAGAAAAAGGGAGAGAGCAGAGACCAGTTTGCCTCAGCAGGAGGGGGGTGGGAGATTGGGAGTGGGCAGAGCTTGTCTATTAAAGGGACAGAGTACACAGGTAACTGGGCAGGCCAACATAATTTTAATTATAACAATGGCAACACACGTCTATAATCTTAGCACTTGGGAAGCATGGTAAAAAGAGGAATTTTCCTTATTTCTTATATGATACAAAAAACATAAATCCTTAAATGTTTGAAGAATTCAATTGCAGAAAAATATTTTAAGTGAAGAAGGAAGCAGAGACAACAGCAGCAAAGACTCCGCAAACATGAGATGAAGTGATATCATAAAGCCACAGCGTTCTTTTTGCCAGGATCTGTACCCAAGTCCTTTGTAAATGTTGTTCCCTGGACCCCTGTGACTACCTCTGGGGAACAATGTTATGATCATCCCTGTTTTGCTAATGGGCAAGCTACTATTTGAGGAAATTCGGTTACCTGCTTACAGGCATTTCACAGTAGGAAGTAAGAGCCAGCAGAAAACTCAGGAGGGTCTGACTTGCAGGATTTTGTCATCCACCAGGTACACAGAAGGATAGAAGTCCAGATGGGGGAGGGGCTGAGGTTGGGGTCATAGGTTGTGTTCCAGATTCCTTTCCCCATAGATTCCAGCAATGTTCTCCATAGAGTAACCACACGGCAACCGCTGCTGCCTTGAGATCACGTTAGAACTCTTTTTTCCTGGTTGATTAGCGTGAGTGAGTGGGGAGGGGGAAAGGGTAAGGAGGGGCCGACATTCACTCCCTGAGCCTGTCACCCCTAGACCAATGGCCTTCACAGCCACTCTGAAGCAGCTCTGCACTCTGACTGACCCTGTCCTCTGGGAGATGGATCCCACATACCTGGCCCATTCCAACCCCCAAGCACAGCCCCACCCACCCAAGAACCTTTCCCTTCCTCTTTAATTTGGCCAGGATGAAGCCATACCTGTACCCAGTAGGTGGTAAGTGCTACCCCTGGCTGTTTCATGAGACTTTCCCCAGTGTGACTGTTCATTTTACCCTGTCCAACACAGTAACCATCAAGCCACACTTGACTTCGACACCTGCTATGACAAACATGGCTAAAAATGGCTGCCTGTGGCTAGCAACTACCACATTGGACAGCACAACTTTAGGCTACACTGATTAAATCACTGCTTTGATTAGGTTTCTTCCAGAAATGAATACAGTGGTTGATTGGTTTTGTTTGACTTGTGGGAGTCTTGTCTTTGGATGCGAGCCATTAGCATAAGAAAAGAATTAAAGACAGGGAAAGTCTACTTGTGTGGTCCTTCAATTTCAATGCTGAGCACAGAGGAGAGTCAGCACAGTGAATTCCTATTAACAACAGTTTCCGGTTCAAACTAACAGAAGTTGAAAACACAGCCTGGGGCGTTTGGAACCCTAAGAAGCAGATGTTCCACTCTCAAGGAGGTAGAATATGGATTCCAGGAAGAAGCTAATAGCTTTTTCGTGGCAGAAGCCAGCACCTAGGACCCAGCTGAGGGCGGACATTAGTGCTGGTTACATATTCAGAGTTCTCTAAGGCCTCTCAGCCATTACCTACAATCTTCTGCAGCTCAGTGGTGGCTCAAGATTCCACAGTGGGTCCCAGGCAGGGTCTGGAGAGGTGATAAATGCCACAAGCCAGAGGACGCAGCCATGCCTGGGGGGTGCTAATTATAGGCATTGCGTATGGCATTCCCGTGAAAGCAGACTCATGAGTCTGCTTTCCCGTAGCCCAGCCCGACAAGCACCGTTGCAGAAATTTCCCCTGAAGTTATGGCAGACTAGCAGGAGGTGAAAGAGAAGAAGCTGAGCTGGGAACACTTTTGACCTGTGCCCTATCACAGAAGCTCATCCCCTAGTGCCTGCACAGAGGTCTAGGCTGTCTCCATGAGTCAGGAGGTGAGGGAGGGCAGTGTCAACTGGGGCACTAGGAGCAAGAGACAAAGGGAGCTGTGGTCACCTTGAGGCAAGAAGACCCGGTGGTAAAGGGCTAAGAGAACTCTGAAAGAATGGTCATCAGGTCTTCTCAAACCCCAGGTCTAATAGCGAATCTCAGATGACAGTCATGTTGGGAGATAAAGTTAGCAGAAAACTAGAGATTGAGGGGTCTGGGCATTAGGCTCCGTGATCTGTCTATGCATTAGGTAATCTGGGAGGTGCCTGAATGGACTTTGGAGAGACTCTGGCTCCTTTCTTTAGGGTAAGGTAAGGGAGAGAGATAAAAATAGATAGCCTCTATCACACCGGATGTCCATCTGCTCAGGGAAGACGTCCCTAGGCTGGGTTAGAGTAGACAGGAAAAGCAGGAAGTTAGCTGGATGCCTGAGCAGAGATGACACCTGACACAACTTCAGCCCTTCCTGGTATAGGAGGAGGAAGTGTCTGGGGTCCATATGCTGCATCTAGCATGTAAAGAAGACCCCACAACTGCCCCCTCCAACACACACACACACACACACGCACACACACACACATGCACGCACACAAAGCCAAAAAGAGAAGCCTTCTGAGGTAAAATGTCCTGTGAGAAAGGCACTGTAAGGCCCTTCCAGGAGACAAGCAGGACCCTCCCTCTTTCCTGACTTCTGCTCTCTTCTCTCCTTCACCTCCAGGTTCTGCTTCAGTCACATGATCCCCTTATCTATAAGTCCACTGATGTTGGTGACCCTCAACCCTTAGATGCCAAACAACACTGAACCCACTAAGGGCCCATCTCACTTCTGAGACCTCTTTCAAGGACTGATATTCTCATGAAGCCTTCCTGGAACACTGTTGGGGTCCCGAGTCTCCTCTTGTTCCTCCTGTCTTTGTAGGTATGGGGACCTTTTCTCACTCAGCACACACCACCCTAGGCTTTACCTTGTACCCACTCACCTCCACCACTTTGCAATGTCCACATCTGTATCCCCAGCCCATCTGGATTTCTGAGGCCTGGTTCCTTTCCTCTTTCTCCTCAAGAGCATTGTCCAAACATTCGGGCATTTCAAATACAAGAGATCCAAAACACAAATTCCCCTCTCCTCTTTTCTTGAGACACCATTCCCTTGTTGTATTTTCAAATATTTGGTATAAGCCTACTCATTAAGAAAAACGCAACCCCTAAAATGTCTCTCTCTCTCTCTCTCTCTCTCTCTCTCTCTCTCTGCCATCTCTGTCTGTCTCTGTCTAGTAAGAGCTTGCTAGGAATACACTAGAGTCATTGGCCAAAAATTATTTCAATTAATATAGTTTCTGTGTGGTTATTTTGGGTCTAAGCAGCTGGGAACAAAACACCTACATAAGGGCTTGAGTTGGATTCCTAGAAACTTTAATTTAATAAGTATATAAATAAGTAAATAAAAATAAATTTAATAAGTACATAAATAAGTAAATAAAAAATAAATAAACCTTTTATGGTTTTAATACTGTCGGAATTGGAACCAAAGTCACCCTTGATGATACATTCACTAGTAGGGTCCTAAGTAACTATTTGTTGAAGTGAACTCAGCCCTAAAAGGTTGTTAGCTTTGCAGCTGTTCTGTGTAGTGAAGCTCCACCATCTAGCTAAACTACATCCATTCAGGAAGCTCCCCAATGTCAGCAGATGCTTATTTTAGAGGCCTTCAGGAACAAAAAGGCCCATGACACACCTCAAATCATGCCACAATGGTAGCCAACTCTGAAGCCTACCTGTGAAGTTGAGTCTTATTTCAATTTCCCTGTCTCTAAATCCAGTTGATGAAACATACTTCCTTCTACCATCCCTGTGGTCCTGTAAAAGTGAAGAAGTCAAAAGTATCCAACTTAGTGTGGTCTTGTTTTCCACCTCTGGAAGCATGGGCTGTGTCTTTGCAGAGCAGGCCTCCTCACCTTCGGAAGGGCAACATCTCGTGAGAAACGTGTGAGAGGCCTCTGGTTGGCTCTTAACATTGAGAAAATCTCTAATGAGGTGTCAGAACCAGAGGTCAAATGTCCACTCTTTATTCCCAAAGCAAACATCTTAAACAGTAACACCTTTAAAATGAGTGTTGAATTAGACGGGTGACCTTTTAGCCACGCAATTCTTACACTGGTAAAGCCCAGCCCACTGGGAATGTGGACTGGAAGTGTGCGTTTACCAATCATCCAAGCTCCTCATTGACTATAGTGACTGTCAGCATCATCTGCTTAGATTTCTTCTAGGGCTAAAATGGATCTGAGTGCTTAGGCTTATTTTCTGTTCCTCGCACCTGAGCGTGGTTCCCAGCCCTGGTACCAGGAGGCTCACAACTGCCTGCACCTGCCTGTATCTCCAGCTCCAGGTAATCCAACACCTTCTTCTGGCCTCCACAGTCACCCACACCACATCTCCTGACCGAGTATAGCCACCCCTGGTTGCACCTACACCTACTAGGATTCTGCCAAGACCCACTCTGCCTAACCCTCCCATACAACCTCCAATCTTTCCACCCAGCAAGATCTATCCCCACACTCCAGGCTTGTACCAGGACTCTTATCCTGTTATACCAGCCCAGTCTCCTCTGTCTACCAGTTTTATTCCATCTAAGCCCAACCCACTCATTCATTCTCCCTTCTGCCCCAACCTGCTCTGTCCATAACAGACTCAGAACTAACAAAAGAAGTCTACATGGCCAGGACACAGAATTTAAAGGAACAATCACAAACGTCATCAACGAATTCAAGGAGTTTAAAGGAGACACAAAGAAACAGCTCAATGAAATTAAGGAGAAAGGACATAAAGAGAATAAATTCCTGAAGGAGACTCAAGAAAACACACACAAGTAGAAGGCTGATGGAAATGGCAGAGACAATCAAGAACTTAAAAATGGAATTCAATAAGGAGAAATACTGAAGGGAATCAGACTAAGATGAAGACGTAGCTGAAAAACTCAATAACCCAACCAGAAAGCTCAAAGTTTACAAGTGGAATGAATCAAGCACGGACGGGATATCACGACTCATAGACAAGGTAGAGGATTAAATCAAAATAAACAAGGGATGTGAACATTAAAAAAAAAAAATAGCTGTGTAGTAGTGGCCCATGCCTTTAATCCCAGCACTTGGGAGTCAGAGGTACTCAGATCTCTGTAAATTCAAGCAAGGCCAGCCTAGTCTCTAGAATGAGTTTCAGGAAAGCCACAGCTACGCAATAAAAACTTATCTCAAAACAAAACAAAAGTAAGTAAATAAATAAATCTTAGACTCCATTCTACTTGCTCTTTCTTTTTTTGGAAAGATTTATTTTTATTTTTAATTCTGTGTATATAAGAGCATGGAGTGGATCTATACATGTGAGCGCAGGCGCCCTCCAAAGCCAGAGACATCAGACCTCCCGAGCTGTATTTATAGATGGTTGTCAGCCAACCAGCTTGGGTGCTGGGAGTCGAACTTGGGTTCTCTGTAAGAGCAGTACATACTACACTCTTAGCCGCTGGGCTGTCTCTCCAGTCTCTCTAATTGCTCTTAACATTCTCTCTGTTCTCCTCTAGGGAAGAGCCTCTGTCCACGTGGCTCCAATGAGGCTGAGCCCACTTTTAACCCTACCCCTACCCTAGAGAAAGCAACAGAGAAAAGAAATAGCCAGAGCTAACCACATGCCCATTGCCTTGAAAACAGTGTCTGTCCAGGCAGGGATTCCAAGTCAATCCCAGGAGTCTTAGACCTGGAACTTACGTCTAAGTCATTAAGGAAAGAAACCTCTGTTTTCTTGGAAGGTGGTTAGATGTGAAGATGCAGGCCTAAGGCTGCTCCTGGGAGCCGTTTATCACTCATGAAGAGACTCAGCAATGCCAATGCAAAGAAGAGCAGATCCAAGAGATGGACAGAAAGAAGTCCCGAGGAATGCACTGGAATCCCTGGATCACCTCATGACTGAAGCGTGGACTGCTACACACCCATTTATTTCACAAGTCGATAAATCTCATATTCAAGTCAGTTTCGGTCAGCATTTTGTTACATACACGAATCCAAAGTTTGTATTTGCACAAACTAAGTTGGAAACAAAACTGTTCTCATCATAGCATCTTTCTTCTTCATTCGTGTATAGTTTTGTGCGTGAAAGTCAAGAACAAGCCAATACCAGCAATTGCTTGATCTATATTTTAGGCATCTGTAAAGGTGAGAAACCGGAAAAAAAAAAATTGAGCCTACCAAATTAATGTATGTGTCTAGTCCATGTCTTCACAAAGTAAAGATTGAAAAAAAATTTCTTCTAAAACAGTGTTTTACATAGCCCAGGTTTGTCCCAAACTCTCTACGTAGCAGAAAATGGTCTTGAACGTCTGGTCCTCCTTCCAAGTGCAGGGATTGCAGGCGTGGACCCCCGCACCCAGTTTATACAACAATCTCTACTGTTCCATTGCTCATGCTCCTTCTGCCTCTTCAACTTATAGAGTGTGTAAACGGCTGTCCCTGCCACGGTCTGCTTCTACTCACAATGCTTCGTAGTCTCCAAAGCTCTTCCCTGCCACATCTGCGCTCACACAACCCTGAGCACCCAGCAGTGATTACAACACCGTTTCACAGATGGAAAGACCGGATCTGAGCAGGGTGAAGTGCCCTGCCCTGAACCAGAGCAGGGAAACCTGCTCCCCATCCTCCTCTTGTGAGGGCAAAATGGGATCACAAATAGGAAAGCACTTTGGAAGGAAAGGAAGTCTATTGATGCCAGATGTATTATTACAAAGCCAAACCTAAGTACACGGTGACCTTGTTATCACCCCTGGAGGTGGGATGCTTACACATCAGTCCTGCTCAATCTCTTCTACCCTGGGGAAAGTCTGTGGGACTTTCTCCAGCAAGGTTAAGCCTTGCATATGTCTGACATCACCTTCTCCAGAAAGGACCATCATGAAGAAGAGTGACATCTCCTTTACTCGTTAAGAACATCATCCTCCGATTACATTCGACCCAAGCCAATCCACATGCCAGAGGATAATTGCAGAGCTGTCAGAACTCAAAACTTATAGACAGTGTGGACATACGTGATGGTTTGTTGGGGGAAATGGATTTGTCATGTGCACAACCCATGGCAGCAGATAAAATACCCTGACAATATTACACACTTGGGGGTGCAGGGCCTGAGCCGATCATTTTGAAAGCATGCTGTTATGACATTTGGGAAATTCCAGAGTCAGGGCTGAGCAGATCCAGAGGCTACAGCAGTGCTCCACTATGCAGCTGCGCAGGACCACAGAGAGCCATTCATTTCCCCACACAGACTGCACTTTCTCGTTTCCACTCTGCCAAGTCGTGGAGTTCATTAAAGGGATGTTTCATAAAAATTTGATTGAGATGTGTTTAAAATAAATTAGTATGGCAATAATAATATTCCTTTTTGAGGTTCTTAAAATAATACAAATAACCCTACTTAGTTCCAAATTCCANCCGAGAGAGAGAGAGAGAGAGAGAGAGAGAGAGAGAGAGAGAGAGAGAGAGAGAGAGAGAGAGAGAGAGAGAGATATGCTCGGAAAAACACCCACCCCGTGGTGTGCGCATGGGTGTGAGCTTCTCGTGGAATCGCCCAGCCCTTCATTGTCGTCACAAGAGCCACACATACCACCTTAGCGAATTTGGACGTTGCTGTCTTCAGAGAGCTGTAAGGGACTCTAAATGAGATTGCAGGACGGCTCCTCGGCAGCTCCTGGTAGGATTGTAACCAATGGGATCTCAGGGATGCAAGAAGGTAGGATGTCTTTACTGCAAGCCAAGCTAACTTCTTGTTTGAGATCCCCAGAATGCCTTCGCGAAGAGGAATGAGGCACCACCCAAGGACATATGCCGTCAGCTCTTAAGAGGAATTTGTGGTTAGGTTAGCACTTAAAAAATCCATAGATGAAAAATACTGTTTTGATATCAGCAATCTTCTCAGCGCATGTTGGCTGTGCTGGGATCCTGTCTCCAACTGGCCAGAGGCTTCTCCCGTCCTCCAGGGTGGGTGCTTTACTCCCTCTCCATGACTCCATCATTTTTATCATTTTCCTGGATCTTTCTGTCCTGCCTCCCTTTCATTTGTTGAGTTTGTCCCCCCCACACCCTCCTGTCACCCCATGTGGGGCAGCAGCTGGGTCCTCCAGTTCTCCTTCAGGGCTGGGATAGGTTGGGATCCAATTAAGATGGACTACAACAGGAAGCATCCTGCCCAACAGTGCCCACTGCCCATCAGCAAGCAGCTGCCTACTTCTCCTGTGCCCCGTCCATGCCTAGGACCCTGAGAGGTCTTTGGGAACCAAGCAGGCTTTCCCTGGTTCCCTCCTTTGGGTAGACGTGTAGGGGAAAGGCTGAAAGTACATTAGGTTGTTGCTTAATCCCGGCTCCCCTAAAGCAGAGCCAAATCGAAAGTGAATATTGATGACTTCACAAAGCCCCGTGTTTGGTGTGCGCTGGAAAACCACCGTGTATATTCCCTAAATAGTTCCTTTTGTTTTCAAAAGTTCTAAAAAACTCACTGTATTGAAATGCATGTTGTTGCATCGATTTTTCTAAAATACACCTTGTTATCTTTTCTTTGGTAATTGGTGACTGGTAATGACTTTGGCAATTTAACATGTTCTTGCAGACACTTTTCCCATTCCCCTTGATAACTGAAGTCAGGAGCGAGGGCCTGTCTGTCAATCTCTGACGCCTGTCAGCCTGCGTGATTGACGGCTTTTGGTCCCACAATAGAGACCATTTTTGCAGCCCCCATTCTGTTATTCTCCCCTCCTTTAATACTTGTGGGGGATGGTGTTTGCTTTATAATCTGCGTTTAAAATCCAACTTGGAATGAAGCCAGCTCCAGAGAAATTATCACAATGTCTTGTTAGCTTTACATCAGGCAAATTCCCGCGAGAGTTCCTTTAAGCTATGATTCTACCTTCTGAAATTACCTCTGCTCAAAAACCTAAGCTTCAGCCTCTTCATCCTGATCCCTTCAAATTCCAGGAGAAAGGCTGCGGGGTCTGCCCAGCCGTGCTCTAATAGAGGGCAGGACCAGGGGGACGCTGTGCATCCGCAGCGAAAGCCCAGCCATCCCCCTCTGGGGTCCTCGGTGTGTAAGCCCCCACATAATGAATGTGGTCTGTAAGCAGAAGGGCCAGCACGGTGGCTTTGCTGGGCAATTATATTCCTCAGAATCAGAACCTCTCCTATCTAAGATCAGCAGGCTCCCTTGGGCTCCAGTGGGTCACATGACAGTGGGGGGGTGTCTTGATAAACAAGGAAACAGCAAGATTCACGAGGAGCAAGGATTTAAGTAGTAATGGGTTTCCCTGTGGCAGGGAAGAGTTTGTGATTGGGGGGGTGTCACAGTTCTACTTTGGAATCTGATCAAATGTGGCTGCTTTCTCTAGAGCAGTGTGGTTCTCAACCTTCTTAATGCTGCAACCCTCACGTTGTGGTGTTATTTCCGTTACTACTTCCTAACTGTAATTCTGCTACTGTTATGAATTGTAAATATTCGAGATTCATACTCTCTGATTTTTTTTTTTTGTTTTTTTTTTGTTTGTTTGTTTGTTTTTGTTTTTCGAGACAGGGTTTCTCTGTGGTTTTGGAGCCTGTCCTGGAACTAGCTCTTGAAGACCAGGCTGGTCTCGAACTCACAGAGATCCGCCTGCCTCTGCCTCCCGAGTGCTGGGATTAAAGGCGTGCGCCACCACCACCCAGCAAAATTGCAAAATTTTTAAGCTGAAAGCCCAACAAACCATAAAATCTACTTATTTCTCTCCAGCTGGCTAATATGAGTGCATGCCGTGTGTGTGTGTGTGTGTGTCTGCGTGTGTTCTTACTCATGCATGTATGTGTGTATATGAGCATTTATGCATATGTGTGCATGCAGAAGCCAGAGGAGGGGAGCGCCTGCTGCTCTCCATCACGCCCCTGCCCCCCTGTCTCCTGCCCCAGTTCCTCCTCCCTCTCTCTAAACCTTGGGCTCACCTGTTGTAGCTGCTGTTCGTTCGTTTGTTTTGCTAGCCTGGTGACCAATAACCTCCAGCAATCCTGCTGTATCGCTCCTCCCCAGTCCCAGTGCTACAACTGAGTGTGCCCACACTTGATTTTTTTATTTTTTAAGTGTGAGCGGCCCTGGGGAATCTGAACTCTGGTTCTCATGATGACACGGGAAGTATTCTTACCCACTGAGTCATTTTCTTAAATGTCTGCCTTTCTGTCAGAACGAACCTTGTATCCTGAGATGCATTTGATTTCTTCTTGGAAGAGGTTAAAATATGCAACTTCCACACCAAGCTCAGCTTCTTCCCACGCAGTGCGGTTCATGTCTCAGAGGGCTTGTTATGTATAGACTTTCACACATCTGCTGTTCTGAACCTCACAACAAGCCAGAGAAGCAACTCTCACCCTCTCATCTACAAGGGAGCAAACAGAGACCAGGAAGACGGAGTTTCGTGCCCACAGTTACTAAGCAGGTGGTTTTAGAGTCAGAACTCAGTGGTTTCCACCCAAGGCCTCAGGCGTTCAACCTGACATAGGCAGAGGGTATTTGTGTATGTTTTCACTGGTCTCCAAGCATATACCAGGCCCTGTGCCAAACACTGGTTTGATGGGCGCAAAAAGGTGTCATAACCGAGATTTTTCATAAGTAGGCAGTGGCAACGTAACCCATGTCCAAAGCTCCAAGCTGGAACCAGAAGGTGTTGGCATTTGAAGATTGGCTTGATGCTACATGGAGGTGGGGGACATGAGAATTCGCTTCTTCTGGTGGGGCACTGAAGAGCGCAGCACAAGCAGACTGGGGGGGGGGTATCCTCCCCAGTGAGGTTAACTCTGTCCCCAAAATGATGGCGACTGACTCTGAGGGCAGAAACAGAAAGAGAAAAGGTCAGCCAAGGAGGCAGCTCTCCCTGTGAACCAAAGAAAAGCTAAACACCAGACCGGTCCAGCTGGGGCTTTAAAGCGCTTGGGTCCTAGTCTGGGAACAGGACGGCTATGGTTCACTGCCCGCAGCAGACTGGCTCGGAACGCCCAGAACTAGGACTCAATGGTCTCTGGTGTCCTCATTGCAGGGCTCAGCAGTTCCACCTCCGTCTCTCCCTCAAAGTGCTTCGGATGCCGCTGAACCGCCCTCGGCACCTTCCCCCACGCCAGAGCTCATTTTCAGATCCTCTGCTGAGCTGTGAACTCACCTTCCTGTTTCTTGCTCTCTGTGTGTCTTTTGGCTTCTGTCCCTCTGACTAATTCTCTCACGTGATGGGTTCGGACTCTTGAGACAAAACATCTGGTTGGTTGACCTCATCACTGTTTCCCTTCCATGCCAACATTTGCACCAGGCTCGCTGATAGGCTGCGAGCAGACCTGTGGACTAAATGTCCTGTCTGCAGTCAAGTGTCCATCAAAGATCAAATCAGTGATAGCTCTGGAGAGGAGGGCCGGGAGGGTCCTATGGGACAGATCGTGACTACATCTCCCTGTGCATTTTATGGACAGCTTTAGTGGACTGGGCTGTAGCTCTGTGGCAGAGTGTTTTCCAAGCTTCTATGAGGCCCTGTTCTCCACCTCCAGTGAGACAAAACTAATTAGTTAAAATTCAATAAAAAATTTAACGCTTAAGTCCATGATTTATTTTCTCTCAGGTTGGCTTTTTCTGTGTAAACTTGGCTGGCTTAGAACTCTCTCCATAGAGCAGACTGACCTCAAACTTGTGAGCATCTTCTTTTGCCTCACAAGTGACAGAGCTTTATAAATATGTACTACTCAGCCTGGCCTATTTCAGTCTATTATCTCATCAAGGAACAATAAGCACAGGATGGTCAGATAAAATTCAAGATCCTTAAGTAAATCTGAATTTCTGATAAAGGACATAAAAATGTTCTCATAGCGGTGTGCACCAAAATACTGCAGACTACATACAAATTTTGTTCGTGCGTACTGAAAAGTCTGTGGAGTAACTGCATCCTGACCAGTAAAATAAGCAATGCTATATGAGGGAAAAGGAGAGCGCTATCATGACCCACCACGTACTTGAGTTTAGGAAAACACAGCTCAGTGAATGCCAGGGGTTGGCAAGACGACTCAGCTGGGGAAAGCGCTTGCCCACGAGCCTGGTGACCTGGGTTCAGTCCTAAGAAACCACATCAAAAAGCCAGATGCAGTGCACATCTGTAATCCCAACATTCCTATGGCCAAATTGGGGGTGGGGGTGGGGAGCAGGAATAGGAGCATCTAACTAGCTGGAAGTATACAGAGAGGTAGAAATGAGAGAAACCCTGCCTCAACCGGTGGGAGGAGAGAACAAACTCCTGAGAGCTGTCCTCTGACCTCAGCAGAAGTGCCGTGGCACAGGTCTACATGACACACACATGCCTACACACACACTCACCCCACATATACACAATAGTAATACATAAACTTTTATGTAAAATAAAATTTAAAAAAAAAAAGCAGTGACGTAAGCCCCGACTGGAACCATAAAAACAGAGCTAGCTAAGATGGTGCACATGAGCAGCAGCAGGCCGTTTTGTCAGGGACGCCTCCAAACATCTTCATGATCTTTGCCGCCGAAATTACCCAAGATTGCACGTCTGTCCCTGGACATCAGCTCATCCTGATTAATCTGATCTGGTTGGTCAGAATGATAGTTCCAGTCTTGATACCATTTACCACCCACTTCAAGACTGCATACTGGCCTTTCAATTTGACAGCCTGCAGTGGTCCATAGCCTGGTCGCTACAGAGTCTCTCTGGCATTCACATTGACTCTACTTCGGCTCCTTGCCAGAGGAATTCGGCCACTCTACTGTTTTCTACATCTCTGTTACCCGATACAACTGCTGAGAGCATGATGTCTCTGGGTACTGAAGATGTTAATGACTGAGAACGAAGGACTGAGAGACAGATGGCTTCGTCTGCTAAGGGCTTGCCACAGGTCCCCAGCACCCATGTAAAGAATCCAGGCACAGGGGTTTGCACCCATAACCTTTGCATGTGGGAAGTGGAAGGCAAATATGGGACTTCACTAGGCAGCCAACCTAACCAATTGGTGAGCTGGTGAGCTAGCTAGAGTTCAGTGAGAAACCCTGTCTCAAAAAGTAAGATGGAAAGCAATGGAGCAAGGCACCCAGCATCAACTGCTGACTGCAACACAGACACACAGATACACACACACACACACACACACACACACACACACACACACACACACACTGCAAAGGGAAAAAATGATAAAAACGGAATAAAGAATTTGTAATTTGATAGTAACAACTACCAAGGGAAATTGTGATGAAGTAAAGCCAATAAAACCGACGTAGCATGTGGCTTTATTGATATATAATAAGGTTTGACTATGAAACCAAACCAGGAACAAAAACAGTGTACCTTGCAAGTTAATTGGGAGACCAAAACGGGAAAAACATGCCTTGCAGGTTAAGGGTTCTGTTTACAGATAAGACAGTTAAGAATAACTTCCTGATAGTTCTATGTTTGTTTGGCCCATCTACACCAGATGTGCTTGATCACACGTGGGCGGGAGGTACGTAGGCAGGAAATATGTCAGGATGTATGCTTGCCCACAATTGGACCTGATGTGATATGCGAAGAATTATGGCTTTCTAAGCTCCTTTAACATGACTTGTGGTCATTTCCTGGGAATCCAGGACCTAGCCAGAGTCTATCCACCTGGACAGTCTTTAATTAAAACTTGCTTCAAATCTGGCTTTAAACTGTGGGAGTGGTTTTATTTTCAACCGGCAGAATTAACACTGACCCGTGGAAAGACAAGAACATGTTGATCTATATTAATGGCATAGCTTGTTTATGACAATAGCTGCCTTTACAACTCAGGATTCTGTGTGTTCCTAAAGTTAAAATGAATCTTTAGCAAATGAAGTCTTAGTGGACAGTTGTAGGTCTATTAAAGTTCTTCTGGACACTAATAATCCATTACCACCTTTCTGCCCCCACGGAGGCCACATTTATCCCATCTGTCAGACAATAACCAACTGCACTCCTGTTCAGTCACCGTGGCTAATGGAAGCGCTACAGCTTGGATGAAATGTACCCCAATAGTTGGGAGCCAAGGAATACCACAGCATCACACCACACAACAAACCTCACACATGAGATTTATTGGAGGGAAAAACCCAGGAGTGCGGTTGCCTCTGCTCAGGTGAGACACAGTAGGGAACCCAGCAGAAGGCAGGGTTTATGTAAAGTTTCTTGGGAGGGGAGGTAGAACTTTTCAGGGTGACTTGGGATTGGTGGGATTGTGTGGCCTGGTCTTGGGGCAAGCTCAGGGATTGATGGGCCACTCTCCCACCTGAGGACTAAGCTGTTAGGACCAATAGAGAAGTCTGGGGGCTGGGCCTGGCCACTTGCGCACCTCAAGGGCTAACAAAGTTTATGAAGTATACAAAGTTTACAAAGGGAGCACCTGACCGATGGAGTTGGCATGAGAAGTCAACATCTAAGTCAAAGTCTAGGATACTAGACTAAGAGGATACAAGCTCTTGGTCAGTTTTATATGTGGCTCCTCTTGGCTCAGCAATTTATTGGCTTAGGGTTAGTTATCTATTCCTCTAACACTGGTTCTCCACCTTCCTGATGTTACAGCCCTCTAATACAGTTCCTCATGAAGTGAGAACCCCCCCAACCACAAGATTATTTTTGTTGCTACTTCATAACTGTAATTTTGCTATTGTTATGAATTGTAATGTAAATATCTGTATTTTCCAATGGTCTTAGGCAACCCCTGTGAAAGGGTCATTTGACCCTCAAAGGGGTCATGACCCACAGGTGGAGAGCTGCTGCTTTATCAGATCTACTATCCTTGATTGGAACAAGAACTTGATAACAGTAATTAAAGCACCTGCCACACAAAGCAAAAAGAAGGAGGAAATATATCATTTTTACGTGATGATGAGCACTGTAAAGATCTCTTTCTGGCAGGTCAAGCCCCTTGTTATCCCTTGTCCTGCTCTCTGGAAAGGATTCCGTGTTGAGTTTTCTTCAGGGTCTCCTACTCTACTCTCTAAGGGATTCCCTCCTCACTCATTACCAATGGGACTCATGAAGACCAGCCAGCCTCCACAGCTCACTTCCTGCTCAGACAAATTTAGGACAAAAGGATAAAGCTTGGCCAATCAGAGATTATTTGTCTGAGCTTGAGACCTTTGTAATACAACCCCCTCAGTAACAATAACCTTCCCACTTCTTTGCTTCCAATAAATTCCAAATACGGTGACCGCACCCAAAGTCTTTTCCTAGACCCAGTTCTGAAGTCTAAATTATTTGCTTTCTTGTCTCCATAGCTTTCTTTGTACCTAGCAGCAGCTACCTTTAGACCATGGGAACTATTGGCCTTGGGGGAAAAGCTCCACCCTTAATCTGAGCCTTGCTGCAAGGTTAAGTTTCAATATCTACTTCTCTTTTTTCCTTTTTTATTGTTTTTATTGAGCTATATATTTTTCTCTGCTCCCTTCACTTTTTCTCCCTTCCCTTTCTACCCTCTCCCATGATCCCCATGCTCCTAATTTACTCAGAAGATCTTGTCTTTTTCTACTTCCCAAGTAGATTAGATCCATGTATGTCTCTCTTAGGGTCCTCTTTGTTGTCTAGGTTCTCTGGGATTGTGAATTGTAGGCTGTTTTGTTTTGTTTTTGTTTTGCTTTATGTCTAAAAGCCACTTATGAGTGAGTACATTATTATATTTGTCTTTCTGGGTCTGGGTTACCTAACTCAATATGATGTTTTCTAGACCCATCTGCAATTTTAAAGAGGTCATTTTTTTTTCAATGTGTAGTACTCCATTGTGTAAATGTACCACATCTTTTTTTATCCATTCTTTGGTCAAGGGTCCTTTAGGTTGTTTCTAGGTTCTGGCTATTACAAATAATGCTGCTGTGAACATAGTTGAGCACATGTTCTTGGATCAAAGACCACAACATAAAACCAACTACACTGAACCCCATAGAAGAGAAAGTGGGAAGTACACTTTGAACACATTGGCACAGAAGACCATTTCCTAAATATAACCCCAGTAGCATAGACACTGAGAGAAACAATTAATAAATGGGATCTCTTAAAACTGAGAAGCTTCTGTAAAACAAAGGACACAGTCAACAAGACAAAATGACAGCCTACAGCATGGGAAAAGATCTTCACTAACCCCACATCAGACAGAGGGCTGATCTCCAAAATATACAAAGAACTCAAGAAATTGCTCATCAAAAACGTTATGGTTTCAGTAAATTGCTGCGGTTCCCCTGAGGGGTGCAGTGG